CTTACTAAAACCACCAGATGTAATGGTCGGACTACCATTTGATCTAAGATTGCTTAAATGTAATCCCATACCTCCGTTAAATTTAGATATCACGGCTAATTCATTTAAAGTTTCAAAAATTGAAGTAATTGAATCTCCTTTCATTGCTGTTAAAAAACAAGATGCCATTTGGGATTTCTTCAAACAAGAATTAAACATTGCAGGTGTACCATGAGTATAATATTGTAGTGATAATGCATCATAAGTTGATTTAACTATCTCAAAATTCTCACCACCTATCTCAATTGCTAATCTCATATAAATATCTTGTGGTCTTTCTACCCATTTACCATTTACATTAAGACAGTATGATCTTAACAATGAACATAATCCAAAATAGTTGATATTATAATCTCTACTATAATCTATTATTGATTCATATACTTGAGTATGTTTTTCTATTAAAAGTAGTATATTAGACCGAAAGATATTTCTAGACTTATTTAAATAAAAAACCTTCTCTGTAAATGTATTATAAGTAATAGAATGAAGATATCTTATAAGTATTGCCGATGCCAATTTTGAATATTCAGTGTTTATCGTAATCATTGCAGCTGCTATTTCTGATCCTAAATTTGCTAATTCATAATCTGACATATCATTTATCATACCATCTTCTAATTTTCTTATAAAATGGTCTATATCTATTCCTTTTATATGGTTTGTATTTACAATTTCTTCTATTGCTTGTCTATAATTATTATTTCTTAGTACAAACATTAAATATATGGGTAAATAAACATAAATAAATTTTTTTATAATTTTTAATGCAAATTTTTATTAAAAAAATTAGAAATTTTTAAAATGCTAAATTAATAACTGAACTCTTATTATTTGTTGTATAACATACAATAAGCTTACGTGTAATTCCATTTCGTAACAGATGAATCACATGATGTATATGACACCATTTTTCTATTAAAACACCTTATTGGATATATTTATTTAACTAATATAAATACTATATCATTTGTAATTTTGTTCATTTTATCTTTTATTACTTATAAAATATCCATATTAATAATTTTTTATGTAATTTTAAATTTATAATTTAAAAATAATTTGTTTCTTTTAACAAACAAAATTTATATAAAAATTAAAAAACATAACATTCTATATTTTATTTATTATTTAAAATTTTTATTAAAAAAACAATATTTTATTTATCTAAACAAAGTAACTAACATCAATTTAACAAGCATAATTATGTTAATAAAAATTAACAATCCCTGTGTACAAGCCATTAAAACAAACTTATGCATATCATCGGGTGTTTCAAATGAATAGAAGTGCTTATCCATAAGTTCTTCAAAGTTTTGTAAATTCACAAAATCTTGTAGTGTACCACCACTTTTTAAATGTTGTTTAATTGTAAAAAGTCTTGGAATACCTTCTAAACTTACTGTAACAAGGAAATAAATAGTAATAAATAAATACTTGAAGATTCTTTTTTGGGGATAAAGATCGGTTAAAATTCTCCATATAATTGGCACACATACATACCATATAAGAACTTCTTGCATCTTTTAAACTGTTGACAATTTTTTCAAATCTAGTGTGTGTTTTAAATGCAAGTCTAAATGTTGGTTTTATAAAAAACAAGTAAATGTGTACTGAAAAAGGAATCATCATTAAAAATAACGAAATATAATTTCTTACATAAATGTTTGTTTATGCTGCTTTTTTTTCTTTAGCTGCTTTTTCTTCTGGTTTTTCTTCTTTAACAACTCTACTTTCTACTGGATTTATCATTATGATAATTAAGGAGAAATTTTTCGAATTTAAGTTTTTTGTTTCAGAATTAGTAAATTAAAATGATTTAATATTATTTGTTAGATAATTTAATTAGTTATAAGTTTTAAGTTTTAATTTAAAATAAATAAATGTTTTTATTTTTGATAAATGATTCTTTTATTTTAATTAATTCTTACTAAAAAATAATTTAAAACAAATTATAATAATTTTTCTTTAATTCTTTTTCTTATAAACTAATTGTAATAAAAAAATTATGATTATATTATTAATAAATGAGTATTTTTACAATAGATTGTAATAAATCAAATACATTAAATTTTTAACTAGTAAATTGATATAAAAAATATTAATTCTATGATTTTAATCAAAGTTAGTTAATTAATAACAAAAACATCTTTTTTAACATTAATAAATAAAATGTAGCACTATTTAATATCACTTTTCAACAATGATAGGTTAATTTATAATAATATTATCATAAGAAAAGTTTTATGAATCTGTTTAGTGGATTTCATTTATAATTCATATGGATTGATGAAAATGATAAATTAACAATAGTAGAAATTATTTATAGAGAATTATAATTTACTGAAATTGATTATAAATATCTATTCAAAGTTTATTTTTTTTAGACAATTTAAACAAAAGTATAATTGATAAAATAAAATGTTTGTTTAAATATGAAAAATTAAGATGATTGTTTATGATTTTTAAAGATTTTAGAAGGTAAAAATTTTATAAAATTATAAGATTGAAAACTTGTTAAAAAAATACTTTAATGATAAAAATAATTTGATTTTAAATATAAATTAGTGTTTTAATTAAACAAATTAGCCTAATAATTCTATTATTATGTAAAAGAGTAGAAACAATGATTTTTAGACACAAATCCTGACTTAGTTATAAATAATTTTTATTCTATTTAAAATTTTATTATTAGATAGTTATTTACATTAATATTTAATTTTGTAAATATTTTTATTATGAACAATATATAACTAACTAAAAATATTACTTAAATATATAATAAAACCTACTAACATCAATTTAAATAAACATATCAAAGAATAAAATTACTTATATTATTTATTTTTGTAAAATTTAATTCGTTATTAAATAGAGATTTATTTAAAAAATATTTTTTCATTTTAATTAATTTATTAAGAATTTTTATAATTTAATAATTGCATTTTTCAATAAACGTTTAAAATTTTTTATAAAAATTTTTAAAACCTATGATTTTAATAAAAATTGGTTTTTAACATTATTTTTTAAATTTTTAACTGTATTATATGATTTAATTACAACAATAAGTTATATTTATTCAAAAGATTTAGTATGTTTAAAAAACGGTACTCTTATTTTAGCAAATGAAATAACTAAGATAATATCTAAGAAAAGAGTATCAAAAGACTATTAAAACCAACTAAACAGGGTATAAAATAACATTTGATAATTCATTGTATTTTATAAAACACTTCATTCTACTACTGAAATAAAATCAGTTTTTAATGAGCAAATCAAAGTTTTAAAAATTATAGCATGTGAAATGAAATAAGTGATTATTATAGATGTTTTTCACATTTTTACTATGATTTTTGAAAACAAAATCGTATTTTTTAATAAAGAAAAAATAACTGACTTTTTTATAACATGATCTTTAAAAAGAAATTATTTTAAAATTTAAATAATATTAAGTTATTAATTCAAAAGTAGTTTGTACTAAAAAAGATTTTGATTTTGTTAGTAAATTTATAAGTTATTTAATTGATAATAAAAAATTAATAACTTTTTAATAATAGCACATCATCGTATTTTAAATTTTATCAAAAATTTCATATATTTAGATGTATTGAAGTTTTTATTCTATTTCATATATAATGTTTATAAAATATCCGGTTGTTATCTTAAATTATGTTAATTTAAAATTTATTGATAAAATTAGTCTAATTATTTAAAATTAAAATGGAATATTATGAAAAATAAAATAAACCTTTTAATTACAAAATTGATTAAAAATTTTATATTTAAAACATCCTAAATTATATTTGTAAGCATGTTACTTCAAAAAATTTTCATAAATATTTTTAAAGAGGTTCATCTATCAAACATGGTAATTAATAACGGTGATAAATTAAAAGTAATTGAAATTATATAAGAAGATTTCTTATTAATTAAAATCAATTTCTAAAGTATGTTTTTAAAACTTATTATTTATAAAAAAACATAAATAGTAAATTTCATCACTATTTTATTGATTAAAATCTAAAAAATATATTTCAAAAAACTTCTTTTAAAATAATAATTACAACTGCGAAAAGTATAATAAAAATTATTTTGTTAATCATAAATCATTTAATGATAATGAAATTGATAGTTTATTTAAATATTATTTTAATAATAAAAATATTAATGAATTTACTAACAACATTAATGTTTTAATTAAAAAAATTATAAAATATAATTTGATAATTAAAAAAATACTTCTTAATGAACAATATAAAGAATAATTACTATTATGTATATAATAGATGAATTAATAATTTTTTTATAATAAATTTTAATATCCGTTTTCTATAAGAAAATTAAAATAAATTAAAAAATTAATAAACAAAAATTATAATCTCAATCTGTTTTTTTAATAATAAAGAGATAATTAATATTATAAATATTTTACACAACTTTAAAGTTTATGAATACAAGAGTTTTGTATTAAATATTTGTAATAATTAATTATTAATTATTACAAAATTATCAATTGTATTTATAGACAAATTAAGATTGTTTTAATGATAATTTATATTTATTAATTTAAATAATTATTTTCAATGTCATATAAAAAAATAAAATATTATTACTTTTGATCCAATTCAAACAATAAATCTAGATTATGTTTTAATAATTTAATAATAATCATTAACTAATTATTAAATTATTAATGACAATTAAAATAATATAAAATAAGTTAGATGTGTTATTTAATAATATTTATTTAAATGATTTAAATCATTTGAAAAGATTAAAAAAGCTTTTAATCTATGTGTAATTTTTTTTCTTAACAATCTGATGAATAAAAAAACTTTTTATGATAACGTTCAGATTAATGAATTACTAAAACTTACAAATCATAAAAAAACTTTTAATTTTATATTTCAAATTTCTAATAAAACATCTAATGTTATTATTAATTATATTAATTGTTTATTTTGTTGATATGATTAAATAAATTATTTTTGATTTTAAATTAAAAATACTTAAAAACTATATTAAGCTCAAAGAATTATCAAAATCAATACATTTTAGATTTGTTAATTCAAACCATAACATTATTAAAATTTTCATTTATTTAAAAAAGATAGATTTAAGGTTGGTAAAAATTTATTTAAAGAGTTTGAATTAACTTACATTAATTAAAACAATATTTTTAAAACAATATATTTAATAAAAAATATTAAAATAAATCTAAATAGCAAATATGATCAACATTTTAATGAAGAGATAATAAAAATGATTATAGAGAGGTGTTGAAAAATAGTTCTGAATATTTTTATGAAAGTTCAAATAATAAATCATGTTTTTTTAAATAATCAATGTTTTAAATTTTAATAAAAAAAGATACTTTTATTATAAAAATTTTAACTAATATAAAATAGATGACTTAATTGAGTTTTTTTTAAAATATTCGTGCTTTTATCACAAGTTTTTTAAAATAGAGAATATCTTACATGAGAACAATTTATAAGATTAAGGATAAATAAAAAAATTTACATATTTTATTAATGATAATAATTAAATATAATTTTACTTTTTTAAATAAAAAATTTATTTATATTATTAGAATTTTAAAAATAATTGAAATATAAATATAAATTATGTTTCATTTAATATTTTTTATAATTATAGATTGAAATAATAAACAAGATAATAATACAATTCAATTAGACTATTAAAAAATAAATAATCAATAAAATTATTATTAATTGATTTAAATTATATTTACATTAAAATGTTGATAAAAATTTGTTTCTTTTAAGAAATAAATTTAATTATTTATTTAATCCCGATTTTTGCATTAAATGAATAAAGAGCAAATTAAAGAATTGTTAAAAGATATACAGTTAGATGAAGGTAAAATAGATAATGTTATCAAGAAACAACACGCGGTTGATAACATTAAAACAATATCTGATCTTAATTATCAGATGACCAAATTACAGTATTCACTGTGTTGTTCAGCGCCTAAGAAAGTTGACATAAGACTTATTGCCAAATTAATTAACGAAGGTTTAGTTAAGCATGAATCTATTCTCAAGGGACTAATTAAAGAAGATTTTAAGTCAGAAGATAAAGCAAAAGAATTTATTAAGCAAAATGATTTTAGTGAAGAAGAAATTTTAAAAAAAATTCAAAAATTGAAAGATGAGTATGTAAGTCAAAACTTAATAATTAAACAAATGAGAAATTCAATGCCATATATTGATTTTAAAATAGTGATGGATAGTCTTAAAGACTATAATGTTAAAGAAGAAGTTAAGAATGAAAATAAGAGAGATTGGTTAAGTGAGGGATTATTGTTAAATTTAAAATCACCTAAAGATAACAAACAGGTAACTAACAAACTTTTAAATGATCATTTAGCTAGAACTAAAGGAGTGGTTGTTACAAGGTTCCCACCAGAACCAAATGGTTCATTACATATTGGACATGCATTTGCTATAAATTTGAGTTTTGAATATGCTAAAAAATTTGGAGGATACACTTATTTAAGATTTGATGATACTAATCCTAGAAATGAGAGTGAAGAATTAACAAACAATATTATTAAAGATGTTGAGTGGTTAGGATTTATACCATATAAGATAACTGCATCTAGTGATCATTTTGAAGAGATGATAGAAATGTCTAAAAAGCTTATTAAGAAAAATAAAGCTTATATTTGTTTCTTAGATGGTGAAGAATTAAAAAGACGTAGAATGAAGTTTCAAGAAGAACGAGATAAAGGAAATTTTGATCCATCGATTCTTTCACCTTATAGAATGACACCAACGAAAGTTAATTTGGAAGAGTTTGAGAAAATGTTACAAGGAAAATATGCAGAGGGTAAAGCCTGTTTACGATTTAAAATGGATTTAGAGTCTAAAAATCCTCTCATGTTAGATTTAGTTGGCGCCAGGGTAATTGATATGGAGCATCATAGACGAAAGAAAAATTTCATGGTGTATCCGACTTACGAATTTGCTTTATGTGTAGCAGACTCATTAGAAGATGTTACTCATTCATTCTGTTCAAGAGAATTTTTTACGAGACAAGAATCATACCATTGGTTACTTAGAGAACTTGAACTTTATGAACCAGTACAGTGGGAGTTTAGAAGATTAAATCTTAGTAACACTATTTTAAGCAAAAGGAAGCTGAATGCTTTGGGATTGTCTTTTGATGATCCAAGATGTTACTCAATAGCAGGAATGAGACGAAGAGGAATACCACCAAGTGCGATTAATAAGTTTGTACAATCTGTTGGTATTACAATTTCTGATACAATAATTGATGTAAAAATATTTGAAAGTTTTATATTTACAGAATTATTTAAAACGTCAAAAACAACATCTTGCATTACTGATCCTATTAAAATTTATTTAAATTGTGAAAAACAATCACTCTATGATTACTTTAAGATATCATCAAAGGTGATTTATATTGATGGATCTGATTTTATGGAAAAACCAACAGATGATTTTATGAGATTAACTCCTTATAACTCAGTAGGTTTAATAGGATTAGGAGAGATTAAATTTAAGAAATTTGAAAATGATGGTATTAGATGTGATTTTATTTCAGTTAAAAGTGAAGTATTTTCTAAACCTAAAAAATTCATACAGTGGATTTACAATTTAGACTTTAAGGTAGAATTAAGAATGTATTCATCACTCTTTAAATCATTTAATCCTGAAGAAGTAGGTTATTTAAATGATATTGATTTGGAAAATAGTCTTAAAGTTGTAGATGGATATTGTAATAGTGAAATATTAGAAAGTAAACCAGAAGACAGTTATCAGTTCATAAGAAAAGGATTTTTTTGTTGTGATAAAGATTCTGATTTTGATAAGAAGAAATTAGTATTTAACAAAACTTTAGGATTAAAAAATTTTAAATAAAAAAATTTCATGAACTATAAATATCAGTTTACAGAGAAATTTAATAGAGAATGGTACTATTTACAGGGGTATAGATACCAAGTGGAAATAAATAAGACTAATGAATACATAGCTAAGATTAGATTTAGTGACATAGAGTTAATTTCACCTAAATTCAATCAGGAAAAGGAAGCTGAAGAGTTTATATTTAAGGCAGGAATAGAAGTATTGAATAACCTAGAATTAAGAAGAAATGAACTATATAATAAAGAAAGAGAGTGTTTAATTAAAGAGTATAAAAAGTACTATGAGAAGGCTGAAACTAATAAAGAATTAGCCAGTAAAATTAGTGAAATATCTCAAGCATCAGCTAATGGAGCAGATTTTTTAACCATCAAACAAAAGAAAGAAGAATTAAAGGACTTTTTTGCTAAAATAACAAAGAATACTGATTTATTAAATAATAATCAAGATAGAGATAATTTAATTATGAAAGATAATCATTCAGAAAGAAGTAATTTATTAGTTGAAAATAATTTACTAATTAAGAATGATTTTAATAGAAACAATTTAATAATTAATGACAATTTAGATAAAATTAAAAAATTAAAAATTGAAGAAAATAATTTTAATAAAAATATTGAAATTATGGATAAAGATATTAACAATTTATTTATTAATGAAAACATTTCAACTAATAATGAATTAAAAGATAATGATCATTTAGATGATAATAATAATGAATTAAAAGATAATAGTTTTAATAATAATAATATTTTTATTAATAATAATCATTTAAAAAATAATAATTTTATTAATAATAAACAATTAGATATGAATAATCAGTTAAATAACAATAACGTAAATGACAATCAATTAGATCATAATAATGAATTAAATGAAATATTAAAATTAAAGAAAGAATTAAACGAATTATATAAAAACGATAAAAGTTATTTAGAAAATGTCAAGAAAATTGATTTAAATGATAAAAATTATCAAATCATTTTAATAAAAATTTGTAGTTATTATGATTTAATACCACCTGCATATGAAACAATAAGAGAAAATGATGTTTATTTAACCACTGGAATGTTTTATGATATTAAATTTACATCCACGTATTCATATGACTTAAATCAATCAAAAGAAGAAGTTAGCAAAAGTATATTTGAGTATATTGAAAATAATTGGAATGAGATACTTGAAGAAAGTAATAAAAGAAGAGAAGGACTATTCAAATAAAAATTTAATTACTAAAAATATCATATACTGTTTCTAAGTTAATTTCAAAACCAACTAACGGATATTGAATATTAAAATGATTGTTAACAATATTAGAATTAAACACACCAATACTACCAATTAACACCTTTCCAATATAAATATCAGCAGACTGATTGTTAATGAAGTGGGGTTTATCAGAGATTAAATAAGTTAATTCAATACCAGCTTTTTTCATCACCATAGTAAGTGCACCTTGTAAATCTTCTAATAACGAAGTATTAGCAGCTATGATACCTGAAAAGTATCTTTTATTACTTGCGCCTATCACACTATCATCTAATTTAACAATATCAGAAACTTCAAAAATTTTAATAGGAAGTTTTTCCTGTAAATTATTAGCAATTGCTTTAATCATTCCCGGCAACAGTGAAGTTCTTACAATTTCACAATCCTTTGATTTAAAATTACCTAATTTAACAGCCTCCCCGTTCATAGAATTATTAATTAGTGAATTTTCTTCAATAGATGTTAATGTTAATGTTAATACTTCATTAAAACCACATAAAGCCATCTAAGTTCTAATTTTATCACTAAACTTATTTAAATGATTCTCAACACCAGTTGTGTGAAAATCAGGTATTGTCATTTTGAAGTTATTAAAGCCATATGCAATAGCTAAATCTTCAATAATATCACACTCATGAAGAATGTCAATTCTACAAGGATAAGGTTTAACAACTACATTATCATTAGATATAACTTGAACACTATACATCATTCTATTTAACAGACAAATTATATCATTACTGTTTAATTGAAATTTTAATTTTCTATTAATTCTTTCCAAATTTAGAATATATTCTACCGGTGTAAAATCAATAGTTGTATAATTATTATCAGATAAGCTTAATGATTCAATCTTACTACAATCCACAATTTTAACTTTCTCAACATAATCACCTCTAAAATTATAACAAAGTATTTTTAAAACTTGTTCTACTTTTAATTGATTTTCACCAGTAATTTCAATTAAAATGTTTTTTGTATCAGGTGAAATTTTAGTTGCATCTGAATTTATAATAGGTGGTAGTGAAAGAATTGTATTAGTAGATGGATCTTTAAATACAACACACTTATCACTTGAGGATAATAATTTAAAATAAGAAAATAATTTCTTATCTTCTTTAAAATAATCCTTGAGATTAGTTCCATTAATAATCTTATCACCATTAAGAGGTATGAAATTAATATCTTTCATCTTAATTGACTGATAAACAATTTTATTACTCAAAATTTTATCAAAATCATGAGTACCCATTGAAACCAAAGATCTGTTTCTACCGATAGTTAAATGTAGTTTATCTTGATAGTTTATAAAAGATTCATAACAATCCTTTAAATTAATATTTCTAATTATAGCAGAAGTAATATACTTTCTTTCATGAGGATTATCTTTAACTATAATAAAGTCACCCTCAACCACTTTAATATCATTAAAATTACCAGTAAGATATGCATTTAATCCATTAACCATACCTTCTAAACATAATAAATCCAATCTATTAGCAGGAATTTCAATATGATAATAAGTAATATTATTCTCACAAGTAACATCATCTAATTCTAATCCATAATTAAAACAAATATCATTGAATTCATTATCAGTTATATTTAACTTGTTAATTCTATTTAATAATAATTGTTTATTAACTTTAATAGTTGGCATTTTTATTAAAAATATTTTATAGAAAAATTTTAATAAAAATGTTATCATTAGAAATAAGAAAAGTTATAAATTTAATACAAAAGTCATATTCACAACCATTAATATTACAGAGACTTTATTTACATTTAAGAGATATTTGTGGAACATCATTTACACCATTAGATAATTTTAGTAGTTGGGATAAGTTAATTATTTATGGTGCAGTTGATAATAAATTACCTAATCAGGCCTTAGAAATGAAATTACTTAAATTTCTAAAAGAATTAAAGGATATTAAATTAAGTCAAAGTGTTGAATTAAATATAATGAAACTTAAATTAACAATTATATGTTATTATATGATTAATAGACCTATAGAATTAACTAATCACATTGTTATGTTTAATTTAGTAAGTAATTACATGGGAATTGATGATTATTTTGATGGACTGATAATTAAAATTGTAAAGAGAACAGTATTAGCTAATGTATTTAATTTAAAAATGAATAAAAAACTAACTAATGATTCATTAACAAGAATGATTGAAATATTATCTAATAAAGAATTATCCACTGCTAATTCAACACAAATATTGCCTTGTTTTATTAATTATAATCTTAAAGAGTATAAAATGATAGAAAATATTCCAATATCAAATGATTTTCTTTGTATAAAATTTATAGAAAACTTATTTCTTTATATGAAATATGCACACGATCCAACAATAGTAGTTAATGAAATAAAATTAGTTGAATCACTAATACTGCCTCTAATGAAATCATTAATGTCATTTAATTTAGGTATTGAATTCAACAATGTTAAATATAGTGAATTTATAAAAGATAAAACAATATTTAAATTAATTAAAGAATCATTTGATATGGAAAATGATAAAGAAATATTCGTAAATGAAGTCACTGAATATTTAACAAAGCTTTATAGTGAATTTAATAAAAATTAATTTTTATAAAAATTTTAACCCCAAAATCTTCTATTGCGTTGACTTACTATTATTAGAATAAGCCTTCATTATAGAAGAAGAAATGCTATTAAATAGCAAACATTTTAATAAATTTTATTTTCTCTTTAAATATTCTTCTTTCATATTAACTTTATATTTTGTATTTGTGTATTTGTTTGTTATAATTATATTGTGATCAATTTGACTAAAGTGTCTTTTACAACAGATTTTAATAAAATAAATATGTGTTGGATACTTTACTGGAATACGTTCTGATTTACTTACAAACTTATAATCCTTATTTTCATATATTATTTCTAGTTTATTGTCTTTATCTATATATCTATACTTACTCATAGGTAAGTATATCACTTTAAGTTGTTTATTTATATTTTTACAATCCATCTTAGCAAATTTTAATAGAATATCAAGACTTATAAAGTCGTTATTTTCAATTTCATAGGAGGTTGGCATTTATAAAAATTATTTAATTTTTTCAATTTAAAATTTAATAAAGTTTATTTACTTTTTTTATTTTTAAATATCAATCTTTCAATCTGTGACAGATTATTAATTATAAATTCATCAAATTGATCTATAAAAATATTTTTACTTTTACTCGTCTTAATCCTTTTTATTGATTCATTTAAATTTATCTGTTTTTTATCTAATTCTTCTTTTATGATTTGATCAGTTCTATTTAGAATGGTCGCTTTTTGATTAGGCATAATGTCCCATACAGGTTTTGTTTTAACATTCCCACCCTCAAAATCAGCTAAATTTAATTCATTAAGTGCTATTTTAGCTGCCTTTATATTAAAATATTCATAAATCTTCTGTCCAACTTTATCCATTCTACATTCTCTTATCTCTCCACATGTTGAAGCTAAATCATATATTTTATCTGATGATAAATTAAAATTTTTATATTGAACTATTACTGATGCTTGATTATTCTTCTCTTTACACTCATCTTCATTACTTGGTAACTCATTTTTTGATATCGTGTAAAAGATGTTTAGATTAGGAAATTGATCTTTTAATAAATTTAGATTTTTAAGTAAGTCTATTGAATTTCTAATATCAAAAAATGTTATAAACAATAAACAAGTCTTAGGAACTCTATAAGTCTCTAAAATGGAGTCTTGTGACTGCATTGATATAAACTTTTCAACTTGATTTTCATTATCTAATCCTGTTATTAACAAAGTTCTTGTTGGTAAATTATTCATATTTTATGGGTTAAAATTTATTAATGTTTTTCTAATAAATTATGAATTGCAAATCTTCTTTTTTCAACCACTTTTAAATCTTCATTTATTTGTTCTTCTAATTTAATTAACCTTTCTTTGAGTTTGTTAATTACTTCAATACAAGTATCTCTTTCATTCACATAAAACTTATTTCTATTAATGTGACCATCCATTATATCTATTGGTTGATTATTATCAATTAAATACTTCTTACTGAATGTCCTGTACTTATTAATTACTTGTATTAGTTTTGTTTTAGCTGTTTCTTTCTTTGTTTTTAACTTCTCTATTTCTTCAAATATTCCGTATTTACTATCATTTAGTTTATTAGCTAATTCTAACTGTTTCTTTCTTCTTTCTACAATTTGATCTTTGTTTAATTTTACTGGTTGTAACTTCTCATTGATATAAACTTGTTCCCATTCTTCATTAGTAAAATCATTCGTTTTACTAAAAGGTGTATTCACTACATTATAAAACACATAATTAAATTTATACTGTGGTGAATTAGACTGATATGATAAATATAAATTATTTAAAATATTATTTACGTCTATATCCTGATTTGTGTTTGTTTGTTTATTAAAATTCATTTTCTATTAAAATTTTTATTTAAAATTTTGTGTCTTTACTTTTATCTCTTATAAATTCATCTTTTAAAACTCTTATTAAATTCATTTGATATTGTCTTTCTTTAAATGCTTCTTCTAATTCTATTAATTCACATTCTCTATTCTCACACAAACTAAATAATTCATTAGAAATATTTGCATTTGTTTCTGTATCTATTTTATGTTTTATTAAATGTTGTTTCATTAAATCTTCTTTTATAAATCCTCTTCCACATACATTACACAATAATGTTAACTCTCCTGTATGCAATCTTATGTGATTATTTAAATCACTCTTATTTAACAGTTTATAATCATAAAATTTACAGTCTATCCATTTACATTTCATTTCTTTTACTGTTGATATGTGTTCTAATAGATGTTTATGTAAATCATTTACTTTTTCATTACAATCTTTCCACTTACAATCTTTCATTTATTTTTTTATTATAAAATTATTTAATAAAACTTGAAATTGATTTTAATAATAAGTTTTTATTGATAAATTATTTTAAGTATAAATATTTAAAAAAAGAATTATTTAAAAGTGATAGTGAAAATAAATAAAATTTTTTATTTTATTGTGATTTTGAATATATTAAAGAAATTATACTTTCACTTTATAAAATAAATATTTATAGTATTATTGTAAACTTGCTTTATAACATCAATAGATACTCAAATCTATTGGTAATTTTGAATGATGAGAAATTCTGAGAAGTATTTACTTTATAAAAAAAATTAACACAAATAAGTTATGGACAAACATGATTATAAAGATTAATCGGATCAAATCTGAAATTTATAGAAAATAGATAAAAAAACCATGTAAATAAAATAAATAATTTTTTAACCCATGAATCATTGGTATGCAAGAGTATTTAAATTGTTATTACAGGGTCCTATCGTAGAATTAATAAAGTTTTTTCGAACTAAAAAAGTGCTTCAAAGATATAACCAGTGTATATCTTGTAATCAAGATATGGTGACAAGACCATACACAAGAAACAGAGATGGTTTGGTGTTTAGGTGCTTTATTACGAGTTGTATAAATTATAAAAATAATTCTCAATTCGTACCGAGTCATTGTTATCTAACTTGAATGTACCACTGAGTAGTATGCTAAAAGTGTGTTTTAAATGGTTAAATAACTATATTTAAGTACAAATAAGATCTAGGGTTAAAGTGGATAAGGACAACACAATAAAAATAATTGATCAACTTAGAAGGTAATGTTTTAATTATTATGTCAAAACCCACTCGTCTAGGCGGCGATAGTATAATTGGTTAAATAGATGAAATTTTATTTAAAAATAAACAGAAGTACCATCTTGGCCAACAATCAGAGTGTGAAATATGGGTGATTGGATTAGCTGATGTATCTTACACACCAGCTAAAATTTCACTGCATTTAGTTCTAAATAGAGACGTATTACACTTATACCTATTATTGAAAGAGTTTTTGCCCGGGTACAGTTATACACTCTGATGTGTGGTAGACTTACTTAGGTATCACTAGTAGATTGAGATTTTTTCACTCTACTGTAAATCACAGTGTGTCATTTGTGAAAGCCTTTACAGGCGTTCATACTCAAAATATTGAGAGTGCCTGGAATATATGTAAGTATCTATGCAAGATGCATAAAGGTGTTTAGTTTTAAAGATGGAGTTAATTTTAAATGAATTTATGTGTAAAATTGACATTGGTTTTGATAAGAATTTTGAAGATTTACTTAGTTTACTAAGATTTAAATAAAATTTGCTCATTATTTTTTTATTTAAGGGGAAATTTTCCGAGTTGTTATTATCATAGGGAAAATTTTAGACTTGTTCTTAAGAATCAACCATGAATAAATTTATTTCTAATAATAAATACTAGTGTTATGACAAGTATAATAGTGTTCATTTTGATTCAAAAATTTTATAATTAAAAGTGCTTTGTTATTAATAAAAATTAGAAAAAAATTTTAATTGTTGGATACTAAAATGTTAATTAGTTTAATTTATAAAATAGTTTTTCATAGATGTTAAAAATTTAAAGTTGTTTTGTTCTAAACTATATATTTTAATAAAAATTTTTACGCTTCTAAATGATAATAAATAAAGTAGTAATATTAAATATTAATACATGTTAAGTAATAAATTTTCTTGATTATTTTTAGAGAAAAGAAGTAC